GTAACCACTTTGGATCAGTTTGGATTTTTCTTTCTTTTTTTGGGGATCTCGGATCTGAAATTTAAATCAGTTCGTTATTCGGATCTTGAGTCCGTCCGCATTTTCATTCCAGAACGAAGTCACATGACCGTGCCTGTAATGTAACCCCCAACAACAAAAAAATTTTTGATTGTTCGTTAAAGGGCCATTACGATTCGTTCTCATTTGGAAATTCGGACGCATGGGGATGACTGAATTTCACAAAATTCTCACAAATTTTCATTTGGAACTAAGCAAAATGTACATGTCTAATACACACATTTTCTTGGCTAAGCTCTTTTTTCACTTATGGATCATGATACTTTCCACATCAAATGTCACATGTGAACATATTAATAAAAAAAGAGAAATCCAAAATGTCAGTAATTATGAGCTTTTTTTTAGTATCAGTGTCCCTGTAGAGTGGGAGGCACTGAGTTGGGATGCTAATGAGACGAAGAGAACCGGTTTGACAACTTCAGCACCTATATAAACTCTGTCTGGTCCGAACCATAGAGCGAAACAAATAGCATCAGCCAAAAAAAGACATTCCAGCCAGAAGACTGCAATATCTACAACATCACGATGCACCAAATCCTTTTATTAGTCATGATGCTTTTGCATGGAGGTAAGTACCTGACTACTGACCTGCTGGAACTCTATGTCCCATGCATGGCACTGTATAGGTCTATGTCCCATGCATGGCACTGTATAGGTCTATGTCCCATGCATGGCACTGTATAGGGCTTTGTCCTAAGCATGGCACTGTATAGGTCTATGTCCCATGCATGGCACTGTATCGGTCTATGTCCCATGCATGGCACTGTATAGGTCTATGTACCATGCATGGCACTGTATAGGTCTATGTCCCATGCACGGCACGGTATAGGTCTATGTCCCATGCATGGCACTGTATCGGTCTATGTCCCATGCATGGCACTGTTTAGGTCTATGTACCATGCATGGCACTGTATAGGTCTATGTCTCATGCACAGCACTGTATAGGTCTATGTCCCATGCATGGCACTGTATAGGTCTATGTCCCATGCATGGCACTGTATAGGTCTATGTCCCATGCATGGCACTGTATAGGGCTTTGTCCTAAGCATGGCACTGTATAGGTCTATGTCCCATGCATGGCACTGTATAGGTCTATGTCCCATGCTCTGCACTGTATAGGTCTATGTCTCATGCACAGCACTGTATAGGTCTATGTCCCATGCATGGCACTGTATAGGTCTATGTCCCATGCATGGCACTGTATAGGTCTATGTCCCATGCATGGCACTGTATAGGTCTATGTCCCATGCATGGCACTGTATAGGTCTATGTCCCATGCATGGCACTGTATAGGGCTTTGTCCTAAGCATGGCACTGTATAGGTCTATGTCCCATGCATGGCACTGTATAGGTCTATGTCCCATGCTCTGCACTGTATAGGTCTATGTCCCATGCACGGCACTGTATAGGTCTATGTCCCATGCATGACACTGTATAGGTCTATGTCTCATGCACTGCACTGTATAGTTTTGAATGGAAGAATAATTTGTTTATAGTTGTAGGTTTTTTTTGCGGTAATTTATTTAGTCCAGTATCTGCATTTTGTTTGTTTCCGGGCCTATAAGCAGGCGCCTCCACGTCTATCTCTGAACATTGTATTTTAGAGTATTGCATTAAGTGGTGAAAATTTGCCGTTCTTTCCTTTTTTTTATATAGCCCATGGGAGGATCATCATGCAAGATCGCATTGTTGGAGGACAGGACACCAAGGTGGCAGAATGGCCTTGGCAGATCAGCCTGCAGAAGGACGGGCTTCACCTTTGCGGGGGGTCCTTGCTCTCTGAGTCCTGGGTGCTGCTGGTCGCTCACTGCTTCGAGATGTAAGTAACTTCTTCATTCCACCGCTACTGCTGACTCCCAGAATGCGGATGTTTAGCTGATAACACCTAGTTACTTTTTTCTTTTTTACATATTTTGTAATAAAGCCATGTTGGTTAACATTTTTTAGTACAACCTGTAAACCTGAAGGCCGTCTGTGGTCTTCTGAAGTCCTCAGAACTCCAGATCTTGGAAAGGGGCCATCCAGGGCTAGCCGAACTCCGGCCCTCTAGCTGTGGGTGAAACAACAAATCCCATGATGCATCTATCTCTGGGGGTCATGTCTGTGGCTGTGAGAATTTTGCAATGCCTCATGGGATTTGTAGTTCCACCACAGCTGGAGGGCCGGAGTTTGGCTACCCCTGGGGTAATCGAAACCAAAATAAAATCTAAAATTATTGCAAAATGAATATTGTTAGACCATGAAAAAGACATTGGGGCCACATCTTCAAAAACTAGGTTTTTGCTCAGAA